AGAACATCAAACAGATCACAATAGGATAGTTAATGTGCAAGAAAATTCAAGGCTAACCGTGTTAGGAGGCATAACTCTCCCTGACGGTGCGCGCTCGTTATTAGAATTGGGGCCAAGTTTCTCACCATCTGAACCCATTTCTAAGATAACCTTGCGTAGGGTCGCATGTGGTTTACATGAGCTTCAAGATAGACTCCGCAAAAAAGCTAGAGATGAAGCGCTAAATAGGTGCAAACAACGTCAAGGGGAAGCCCTACCAATAGCACCATTTCCCCCAACGTTCTTTAGACAGCAAGTGCCCAATAATGAAGTTGATGTTAAATTTCGGATGTTTGCGAATGAAACTCTCAAAGTCCTTAATCACTATCGCGCGAAAAGATACATCTCAAACCTCACTCCAGTGCAAAAACGTGGTATGCGAGAGGTACGAGAGCTGATAAGGTTAAAAACCATAAGACTTTCCGTTAGTGATAAGGGTAAAGAGTTTGTCGTAATTCCTCATCAGTTAGATGTGGAGATAACGAAAAAGCATCTTGAAGATGCTTCGCTTTATCGCCCATCATCTGAGGAGGAATTCAAAAGTAAATACCGAAAACTAAACCACGAATAGGCCAAAATGGCAAGGGCTGCTGGTTTAAAACCATCAGTTATCTCTCAACTCAAAGTTGACTTACCAACATGCCCTGTCTTGTACTTACTTATAAAAATTCATAAGTTAGTATCCAGCGATGATCTTGCGTCTAACGATCCATCACTATTTAAGGTTAGACCTATCATTAGCTGCGTAGACGGGCCAACGGACAGGATAACATGGTTTTTAACTCTAATATTTAACCAGTTGTTGAAACACATTCCAGCCCATCTTACGAATACCCAGATGCACTCTTTTGGATCGTCTACGTACGGCGCAACCCGACAGCGCGCGACATCTCTACGTGACATACTTAGTGGAAACCTCATAGGAAGCGGTGAGTGTGCATAGCTCTGTTCAACGTGATTGAAATCTTGGTTTAGAGTTTCTTTGTTTGGTTATGGAGGCGTCTGGCCGAGTGGATTGCTGTCAACTTGACCTTTCCAGGCTCTGAGGAAGGCGAAATCCGCCAAAACGTCAGCTTAATCGTGAGCAAAGAACAATAACACCTCGCGTTTGCTCAAAAAAAATACGAACAAAATCACTTGATCAATGCCGAGGTTAATAGAAAGTCGGNAGAATGCCTTATTATCACGAGCGATATAGGGCAGTATATAAAGCTGCTTTTCTGATACGAGGGGCACATTATACTTCCATGTGATTTTTGTGCGGTTGGTCTCTACGTGACGTACTTAGTGGAAACCTCATAGGAAGCGGTGAGTGTGCAAAGCTGTGTTCAAAGTGATTGAAATCTTGGTTTAGAGTTTCTTTGTTTGGTTATGGAGGCGTCTGGCCGAGTGGATTGCTGTCAACTTGACCTTTCCAGGCTCTGAGGAAGGCGAAATCCGCCAAAACGTCAGCTTAATCGTGAGCAAAGAACAATAACACCTCGCGTTTGCTCAAAAAAAATACGAACAAAATCACTTGATCAATGCCGAGGTTAATAGAAAGTCGGTCGTGGGAGATAACATGAAAACCACAGATATATTCGGACAGTCAGAACGTCAAAGAAAAGAATAAGATTTACCGATCTTTGAGCGTTTCAGTCATCACACATTCCTCTGATGAGAATATCGCTGTACACGCTGGCGGTCGCATGCTTCTACTTCCTGTGTTGGACACCGTTCTGGATGGCTACCGTATTCGCTGTCTACCTTGAAAATGCAGGTAGATTCTTTCTTAAGAAATCATTGTTCGTATCGAAAATCCCCGCGGAGTCGGCAACGGATGACCGAACGAAAGTTCTCAGCTATTGCACGCTGTGGTTTTACACGTGATGTAATGAAATGTTGCCAAATGAGAAAATTATACGGTATGTTTGCATAGAGGATAGAGGGTCTGCAATCCTTCTCAACTTAATTTCAGAAAATTGCCATTTTGCTCAACAAAAATACGAAGAAAATTACTTAATGAAGTTTGTTCCAACTAAGATATCTAGATGTTATACCTTTTTATTTTTTGCCTACTATAATTTTGCGGCATGGTACGGCACGAAATACAACCACAACGTTGCTGAGATATTTGCAAAACTCAGGACCACAGGTGTCTATGGTGGGAAACGAACGCGCTATTGTCCTTTCCGGGGAGTAACGCGTTCACGACCACACCATGCGGATCCTTCGTTTCGCCTGTCTCTCAGCTATTTCTATCGATCTTTGCCACAGCAATCACCCGTCACCGGGATTGATCTTGGGAGCCCACATAGGCATTGAACCCAATTTAGCTGAGGCTGTAGTTGAAATCACAACGCTTTACTTTTTATTTTCTGTCTACCACAATTTTTGGGCAGTGCATTATGCGAAGTACAACCACAACGATGCTGAGATATTGTCCATATCAATCCCGTAGACAGGTGATTACTGATGGCACTGATCGATAGAATTATAGGAGCGACACGCTAAACTAAAACCCAAATGGTGTGGTGGTAAACACGTTAGCTCTCGGAAAGGGTAACAGCGCGTTCGTTCCCCACTGCTGACACCTGCGGTCCAGAGTTTTGCAAATATCTCAGCATCTTAACTCTTTTATTTACTGCCTTTTTCTTCTTAATGGCAGGTTATGTTTCGAATTATAACTCGTATGAAATGCTGAGATATTTGCAAAACTCCGGACCACAGGTGTATGCAGTGGAGATTCTATCGATCTTTTTGCCATCAGCAAGAACTAGCTGAGAGACATGCGAAGCGAAGGACCCGGATGGTGTAGTGGTGAAGTGCGCTGCTCCCCGGTAAGGACAACAGCGTGTGTTCGTTCTCCACCGCATACACCTGTGGTCCGGTGTTTTGCAAATATCTCAGCATTTCATACGAGTTATATCTCAGCATCGTTGTGGATGCTTAGTGAAGTCGGATGAATGGCACCATGGATTGATCAACGTGGAGAGCTCTATTCTCTTAATTTTTTAAATATTAATATAACGTATATACGTACGTATTACGCACACATTGTATATTTGGAATATATATTACGTATGTACTCTGTATGTGTAATATTTTTAGATGGTTCATTCAGCTGTACCTAGTACACTAATTCCGAGGACCGCTTTTCCATTGTCTTCGGCATAGATGAACAAGATAGTGCTTCACTGACAAACGAACAGGAGTTTCTCAATACAGAATTCATCTCACAAGGGCCAATGTTTTGAAGGACTTTGATTCTTTCACGGCCTGGAAAGGAGAGCGATGAGGAGAAAGCAGTGTCTTTTAATCATGCTCCACACATTTCCTAAGTTATGTGAGCTATGATCGGTTGACCTGCACCAATAAATGGAAAACACTAAAGAAGACGAATGATCTAGAAAACTGTTTCCAATGCGTTTGAGATTTAAGATTTAGGCTTTTCTGCTTAGGTTATAAAAATGGAATTGTCTAAGTGGAATGCCTATAAATTTGGCCTTTTCATAAATTTGGCTCACTTGGCTACAAACGTGCAAAACTCAATTAGACTCTAAACCTCAGGGCCACAAATCTAATGCAAATCGGTGGTCATGAATATAAAAGCGCTTGTACAATAAATTACCTCGAGGACATTACTGATGTCAACAACAGAAATGTTATCAGAAGCTCATAATACTTCGAATACCCAAAAAAGGCTGCAAAGAATTTATTCCACTAGTGTTTAATATCATTTTTCCTGGTTGCTCTTCGATTTTTCCCACCTCTCCTTCCTGTCTTCCACTTTCATTTCTAGAAACTCATCGATATCGGCAGTGTAATAAGCCAAGTCAGTGTGAACCTAAACAAAACATTTCATCTCCAGTTCAACTACCGCAAACCTTTTGTCAAAGTTTTCCACATGTGAACGGTGGCATTTTATGCTGAAGTCGTACGCCAATGGAGCATCCAATAACCTGCCTTCCAGTGATTTTTGGACAGATGATGTTTTCTCATTGAATATTCTACCATGAACATCGAAAAGGTTTATATTATCAAGATTTTTTAGCACAAAATCTTTTCTAGTCGCAGGACCTATGTTCATTCTTAGTCCTTTACTGGGATCGATTTTTCATCGGGCTATCAGTAACCCAGCGTACCTGTAGTACTGAAATAGCGTCGCAGTTTTGAAGAACACCATAAAGAATAAGTCACAGAGGCCCTGTTGAACCAGGGCATAGAATCGAACAAACGATCACTTGTTGGCCGCAGGCCACTTCTAACTACAGTGCTGTACACGTTCGTGGCGTTGTGCACCGTAAGCCAGTTAAAAATGAAAAGCGCTTTTCTGAGGGATGTAACCGTTTTGTACGAAAAACGAAGTGCACTTCCATCACAAAGGGATGGTTTGCCCAAGAGAGAGGTCTTGCTCAGAGGAAGCAATTTTACGCAATTAGATTATGTGAAATGTTGAGATTTCCATTGTCGTCCGTGTTTTACTTAGAAACCACAAAGTAACTCTCGTTATTTGCAAACGAGCACATAATCACTGTGATGCGATTGTAGCCATCCAATTAAAACTTTTCATGGCTTGGAGTGATTATTTCTGCCATCGAATTATCTTAGTTTTGTTTAAACCACTGGCATCAAGGAACAGACACCTGTGGAGCTGCTTAAAATCCTTGGCGAACAATTCTACTACGATGAGGACTTCGCCATATGACTTCGATTGTCGTAACAACTTGATTATTAGCTTTCATAGAGCTTAGCCTTCACTCGGATAAATTTTCATAGTAGTATGCTAAGATTTTCGAAAACGATTCTTGCAATCACGCAAACAAACTTCTTTGGCAGTGATTATAATTTCACTAATGCCTAGACTGTGCCGTCATACAGAATTAATTTCATTCCTATTCCGGGTGACTTCAACTTAGATATGCTTTATGTGAGAACTGAACCTAACAAATAAATAGAAAAGACGATTGGTGTATAAGTACCTATACCTGTGCCCCTGCACGAGATCCCATGGCCAGGTCGGTGCAAGACGTTCCGAACGAGACAAGACCTACGAGGTAGTGCCTTCCCTCCAACGAAGTCGTAACTCCGCCTCCACTGTCGCCCTTAATTAATAGATTGCACATTTGTTGACGAAAATTTATGACGACGTAAAAGATTAAGAAGAAGATTCAATCTCGAACGTGTTACTCTCGATTTTACAAGCTGTTCGTGAGTCATCTCTGTCCGTATTGAAAAGAACAGTTGAAGAGTTCTGACGATGTGAGAAAATAGATAAACTTGTTTTACTTTTAAAGCTTCAACTGAGCCTGTGAGAGACATGTTATTAGAACTTGTTAAACATTCTTCGAAAAAAAGACGAAAGGGATGGAGTATGTTGTTCCTACGTGAGGGTAGCTTTCTTCGTATAGATTACAGTATACAACAGGTCCCTTTATGTGGAAACAGCAACATGTTCAAGTGAAATTAAGAGTTGCTTAGTTCCACGAAATTACCTTTTTCGTCAGAATCTTCATTAATACCCAAAACTTCTTATGCGGTCCGTGTTAACCCATATATATTAATGCAATACGTAAATCGTGCGTCTTTGCGATTCCAAAACAATTGTGTGGGCTCCAGAACAACTTTCTTTTGGTTGCTAGATTTTTTGTCTGCAACGATTTCTTGCTATAAAATTTCGAAACCCATGGTAAGGCTTTTCCGAGAGCCTATAATTTAATTAAGAAAATCCTCTTGCGACTAGTACTAGCGCTATCCTATGGCGAAGGTTCTTGCATTGCAACTGCGAAAAAAAATTTTATACATTGTTTAATCCTGAGTGCGGATGTCTTCAGTGGTTTGAGCTACTAGAACTGCAATGGTTGAAATCTTTAATGTTCTGAAAACCGAAATGATTAAACTTTTCTTCATGATTATTTTAGCATACGGTGACAAGCAAATGATCATGGGAGTCGAAACACGATGCAGAAATTCGTCTTGGATCAAGGTCGCTCACATCGAGAAGATGGTTTCTACGTCTCTTAAAAGTGAGCGTCCATCAACGAAAAGATGGCTTGTCATACACTTTTTTGTAATCTTCAACGTCATCTTTTTGTCATCAACAGACGCATATGGCGCCTGCTTGAGAACCTAGGGAACAGTCAGTCTTTCGATCAGATATCGCAGAGATCGACTAAACCTATGAAACTATGATAACATAACGGCTGGGCAAGAATTAAGATTACCTAAGTTAAAATTTATCAAAATTGTTATAGTACTATAGCAGAAAAGACATCTCCATGATAACGTTCATCAGTTGTGAGTCGGCGTGTGGAACTCCTTAGCTAGTGACAAGCTCCATTCAAAAGAATTAGACAAAATTTAACCGCTTTGTGACACTTTAGTTGCTTGCTCATTACACTGTTCTATTTAAAAGAATCATTTGATGACACAAGTTTGTAAGTCCAACCAGAATGAATTACACAAAGTCTTGGAAATAACAAAAAACCTCTAGGAAAAACTGTCATGGTGGTTAGTCAGAGGGAGCATGGGATGGTCGTGGAAAGTGTGGGTTTTCTGGATTTGACTTACATGACAAACATTACGTTCCGCCCGTTCAAACGTGCAGAATGTGTCGGGTTTCCGAGAATCCAAGTTCTCGTCGCATTCCGCGTCAGTCATTTTCACACCTAAATGATTTTGAGTGGCTGTTGAATTCTAAGAGAGTCCCGCTATAAAATTTACTAACTGCTCGTCATAAATTGGCCGATAAAGCGACCAGTATGTAAAGTGTTTGTACCAGTGCAGCCCTCCAGCATCTCGAGTTGCTTGGTGGCGACAATCACAACATGTGAAGGGTCTTTTGGAGGTGTATCAGAGGTATAAGATTAGACAAAATGCTTACGTCGTTAACGTAGTGGATTCAAGAAAAGATCTCCTTATCCCTGATATATCAGGCCGACTCATACACTCCGTATACACTCATCATTCGTTTGTCACACATCTGTAAGTCTGCGCTCTTAAATGGACGCGGGCTGCATTGGGTTCATCCATTTGTCACACGTGCAATGATTCCAGGAGGAAGTCATAAAAGGCAGGCTGTTTGAGACCATCTCCGGTAAACAAAGAGTAGTATCCCATTATGCAACCAACACAAACTCGGAAAACAGAGATTTTAAGTGAAAACTTTTCACTAAAATGGTAGGAATAAAAGGTTTGGTGAAAAAAGTTTAAGGTTTTTTCATCGGTTGAGGGATTAGCTACGACCGAAGGAACAACTTTGGTGTGCAAGTAAAAGACCCTGCTGATGGGTACTCGACTTTCAGCTGGTTAACAACAGATTCTGTCCACAGTGTGACTCCCGAAACAGATTTTTCGAGGAATATGTGACATCGGTGAACATGCATGCCAGTGTCTTAGACAAGGACAAGACCTCGAACGGATTTCGTTTACCAACTCAGAAAATTTCTCCTAACGGTGTACCGCCTCACCGTGGCTGGGAGGTGCTACTGGGTGTCGGACTGCGATATACAGCGAAGCAATTCGTCTACCTGGCAGCGTCTCCCAAGCTGAGAAGGAGTCCGGCGTTTCCATCAGGAAACCTAGCTAAGAGGAAACCAATACCAGGATCCACCAACGTTCTGGCACCAAAGCCCCATGGTGGCGAATCTTGCTCTGATCCACAAAGGGATGCGACTGCCTGTGGTGGTGAAGACCTAGGGCAGACTTTGGTCATGGTGACCTCGGGATTCCAGGGAATGACAACGACTTAACCAGCAAATCCCAGAAAAATGCTGAATTATGCTGAGGCTCGCACAACCAGTGAGGACGGACCGTTGAATTATCAAGTATCAACTAAGTAACTCAGAGGAATAAGTGTGTTCACTGACATACCTATATCGACTTTTTGAAGAAACGGTGTTGCAGCATCAGCAAAGTCATTCAACGCTAAAGACAAGATTCATAACAAAATATATTCGTCACAGTTTATTTTAAAATAACTAGTGGCTTGAAGCAATTAAATAAGATTCCTGTTTGCTACCAAAAGCTTTCTACCTATACCCACATGGAATCGAAAGTTGATAGGAACGTTGGGAACTCATCGCTTACGATCAGATCCATATCCAGATGAGAACAATCTGGCAGTGGAATCATAGAGTTCGTCGGTGTCGTGGAGATGTGGTAGACAAATGTGATGAATGTCGTCGGAAACCGATTCGGCTAATTTCAAAAGAGCAATGTCTTTAGTTCCAGAACAACTGCTCACGAAGAACGGCGTGTAGAAAGCGCTGAAAAATTTCTTTCATGGTGAATCGCCATCTGTTTCTGCCTTACGTCTTCTTTCTCTTTGAAGAACCAATTTTCTTTTGATACTGAGCAAAATTTCCACATTGAAGCTAATGAATGCCGCGCCACATTTTGCCTTTTAACTATAGTAGATTAACAGAGAAGCGTTTTTAAACTGCCTTATATTTACTGCGAGCTTCTGGGAGACGAGAATTTTTATAATTTTTATTTATAGGTCAACCAGTGGTGGAGCGGATATGAATCGAATTGCAGACCAGCTCTTCTCGTGCTAAGTGCTCGGCACCCGAAGGAATCCTTTTGTGATCAGTCGACCTCTTTCTTAAAGCATCTTTGCAATTTCTTGTCTTTGTTGATGCCTTGTTTTTTGCAAACGGCTCTGCTAGCAACCCGTCGACCCCGTGGTTTCCACAGTATTACGGATAGAGCTACCGTCGCGCAGCTGAAATAGCGCCCACTACATCGCACCGTTCCGTCCGCAAAAGGTGAAATACGAGACAGCATTTCGAAATTTCTTCAATCTGAGGTAGAATAAACATTAAACACTTTAGATAGAACAGAGCAAGTAAATAAAGTACTGATGCTCATTCGAAAGGCCCACCTTTCTATACTGATCCACTTGCCCAACTCTGCCTCACTACATCCGTGTTCTTCATCAACTCGCCGACAGATTCCTCCTACTGACACCTTCATTATGTTCAGTGCTTCCTCTATTTCATACATGTCGTCAGTACTATAATGCGACCACAATTGCTTTACTTACAAACCATTTCGTTTTTTAGGTTTTTATCTTGCAAAACAAATGGTTCTGTGAATCTGCAAGATTACTGGATAATTAGTAAGTAATTTCAACGTGAACCTCTAAAATGACATATTTCAGATGAAACAAATGCAATCTTTTAATAAAAGTAAAAACGCACTGAAATCTACATATCTTTGTCAATAAGAGAGCAAGCAAGTCTCACTACTGCCGTAGCACGAAACTCTGGGGTTCTGGAAGCAATGGAGTTGTTAAAGCCGGTTTATGCTTAGGTTTGGTTTCTGTGCAGTTCTCGCATAGGAAGGAAATGATCAAGGTCTTGGTGAAATGATCGGTAGGCAACAGCCTGGTTCATACTGTAGATGGGACAGGAATTCGTAGCCAAGCTCGCTCAACTTCTGTACCATCGGTAGTGCGAAGTATAACTGCGTGTTGTCGTGAAGAACGACTGGTGACCTTTGGTTGACCAAAGAGAGGCGCAGCACTTGAAAATTCCTGCTCATATCGTTGGCTAGGTAGACATACTTCTCATTCATAATCGTTTAGCCTAGAATCAGAGAGCTATGGTGGATTGAACTAACAGCAAACCATCAAACGCTCGGCATGAACTTCTGTTGGTGCGATTTCGGCTCCAGAAAACGTCTCCAAAACTTTCCCTTTCTTCAATGTCGAATTCGCCACGACGGAATTTCCCAAGCCAATGTGCCGTCGTTAACACACTTTTTGCGCCATGCTTACTTAGTCAATTTCTCGAGCCGTGTGCACTGCGTATTTTTGAGTTACGAAACGTAGAAGTAAGTTCGCCGAAATTGCTGTTCTGGTATCTTTTACTCTGAACTCCAAGATTTTTCAAAAAGTGACTTATATTATTCTTCAATTACACGGTGCGCACGTGCACAAGTTTAGCAACAATAAAAAAGGATAAAACTCTCGGCGTTGATCACGCTGAAGGATGCGACATGTATTCGACTTCATTAAACATAGTTTGAAGGTTATTGAATGCATATCTGGTCTTTACAATGACTCGCAGTACCGTATACCGAGCCAGTGCTGCTATCTTTCCAGAAAAGTCTGGTACCAATTTTCCGACCCCGGAGGGATGGAAAGCTTAGTGGTCCGTGGGCGCGGGGATGGACTGTGTGTATTGCAGGGCGCCTCCGACCACTGCGCTACATGCGTCCATGCGTTAATATATAATAGTATCGTATTTGAAAGAAATATTATTTCTAAAGCTTGTGCGATAAGATTGAGCTGCAAATTGTGATTCATTTTCAAAATAACTTAATATTTCATCGAATCTTTAGGAGTGCTCCTTCATCGGTTTCACGTTGGCGAAAGATCGAGAACTAAGAAGCATTAGAAAAGTATCGGAGTAATAAATTGATTAAGACTTTAAGTGGCTGAAATTCGGAGTAAGAACAGGATAGGGAGCTGAATATCGATGGAGAAGTGGACTGACTTCGCGCTCAAGCAATTATTACAGTCAGCCTTCATTACCTTATTGGTCCGACGCCCAGACGATTCACTTCATGTCCGCGTATGACCAAGAATTGGTTTAAAGCTTTTAAAAATTCGCTTTGAAGTAGTGAATAAAGCTAACGTGCACTCTGCCTTGTCTGTGTTCTTCCAGAAGCAGTGAGCAGCCGTGATCACGTGGCGCTTGCTGATTAGAGTCCCACCGCACACTTTTCCTGGAATTATTTCGAAACTGCTTATACTATTTAGAATCCGTCTTAAATTGATCTTAATCTTCAAGATGCAAAAACAATGGCTGTCTGGCGTTAAACTTTGTAACACGAAGCTAAGCTTTATGATGCAACGAGCAACGCTTTCGGCATTGGTCAATTCATGTGGAATGCACTCAACTCTATCAGGCATCATAAAGATGATTGATCTCATATCTGGCGTATATACTGCCCTACAGTAGCTTATCAATATATTGTCAGCGGTTCTATCTTTGTAGATAGGTTTGGTACCATATGGGAATGAGGGAAATACGGTTAATCATTAGCGGCGGGATAGAATCAATGTCACTTGTTAGTCTGAATCAATCCCATCGAGCTATCGAACAACTGCAACAGAAGCAACAACAACAACGACTACTACTACTACTACTACTACTACTACTACTACTACTACTACTACTACTACTACTACTACGAATACAAATACTACTAAACGAAATTTCAACGGTGGAGTATGTGTCCAAATATGGCAAACAGAAAGGTCCAATGCACTCTCACGGCATCTCCGAACCACACTCATTTTATAAGTAGACTGCATTCCATTCAAACTGAACTGCACATACGATTTCTACCGCTTGAAAACTCTTGCAAAAGCTGTTGAAAGACGTGACCCGGATGGTGTGGTGGTGAAGTGCGCTGCTCCCCGGTAAGGACAATGTTCGTTTCCCACTGCATACACCTGTGGTCCGGAATTTCGCAAATATCTCAGCATTTCATACGAGTTATATTTCGCAACATACTCTGCCATTAAGAAGAAAAAGGCAATAAATAAAAGGGTTAAGATGTTGAAAGAAGCTCCACTGCGAGAAAAGTACTCTTGGGCTGTATTTTGAATCACTAGTTCTACTCGAGCATCGATGTTGAATATTTGTACAGGTAACTTGTAGGGATCATCTGGAGTACATTTAGGGATTCTTCACCAGCAAGATGTCGGTTGGGCTACTCACTGGACCCATCAACTCTCTAACCTCCGCGGAATCAGAACAGTAGTACGACTCTTTTGAGATCACTTGACTCCGCAGACTCACAACGTCTGGCTACTTCCTATGAGAAAAATCTGGGAACGCCCTAGCGCGGCCATTTCAAGATTACAGCGGTATTTGAGTCCACTGATGCTCAACGGCACTCAACATTCTGTGAGCAGAAATCCTTAAGCAATAATTGCACGTGCATATGAAATCCAAAGGAAAATATGCGCTAGTGTAGATAGAAAATCTATGCTCGCTTTCATGAAAATGTTTACGCAGGTAAAGAAGACAGGTGTGCATCCGGGATAACTTAAGCATCTTAACCTTTAATTCGATCCCACCCATGCCTGTATGAAATTACATTACGCAGCCGCCTTCGATCGACTATTTGAACTCAAACCTCTTCGAATGGAGCGTCAATTACACTTTGGCCTAATCGGCTGCGAAACTCCACGCCCTTGTCACGCTCCAGCCTGCTCATATTCTTCTTAGCTGGTATGAGCTAATTTTCCGATATCACTTAAGCACTACGTTGCAGAAGGACGTTCAATGTTGTTGATGCTCTTTTTTACTCACTGTTTCATCTTCGAGAATTCATAGTGTCACTAAACGAATTGTTTATAGATACAAAGGTTAGTCTCGCTATGCCATTATTGTTTCCTCAATGTCGTTCATACAAAGGTTTAAGTTAAGTGCTTGGGAAAACCGCGTAACACTGCGCAGATGCTCATAATCACGCTGACGGGTGATTGCTGATGGCAGAGATCGACAGAGCAAGCTGAGAGACAGGCGAAACGAAGGATCCGCATGATGTGGTGGTGAACGCGTCACTCCCCGGAAAGGACAATAGCGCGTTCGTTCTCGACCGAAGACACCTGCGGTCCGGAGTTTTTGAAATATCTCAGCATCGTTGTGGTTATTTCACAAATAATACCCTGCCGTGAAAACTAGTAGAAGGCAGTAAATAAAAAGTCGATATGCGCAGATATTTTAAAAAAGCCATTCTGGAGTGTGTATAAAATATGCAAACAAATGGAGACGAGGTAATTTTTAAAGACACAGCGAATTGGTAAAAGAGACTACTCCAATCCTACCGTCGTTTGTTTGAATCAGAACACTCCACGGCATCTCGCCCATCAGTACTCTTTCTCCACCCATCACCTAAAGAAAAAAAATGACAACAAAGTTGAGGTAAGTGCTTCCTCTTTTGCGGAACGAGGTGAAGGGCAAATTGTGCGAAATGCGTGGAACTCAATATAGTTCTCTACGCCTTATCTTGTAACAGAATGAATTTTGCACCACTTTTTATAGGTTTCGCTTCTATTGCAATGTGAAATGTTCATTATTTAAGGTGCTCCGCTTCTAATGGGTGGCATGCTTGAAAGATTTTTTGCTCCTACGTGCTAATCACACATAATGATGATAAGATATTTGCAAAGCTCCTGCTCGCAGGTGTCTGCGGTGAAGAACGAACGCGCTATTACACTTTCCGAGGCCGATGCGCTCACCACCACACCATGCGGGTTCTTCGTTTCGCCTGTATCTCAGATAGTTCTACCGATCAGTGCCATCAGCAATCACCCGTCAACAAGATTAATCTCGGAAGCCCAAGTTGGAATTGAACCTAGTTATACTAAGGCTGTAGTTGAAACCACAATGTTAACTCTTTAGGGTAATAGTGCTTTCGTTCCTCACCGCAGGCACCTGCGATTCGGAGTTTTGCAAATATCTCAGCATCATTGTGAATCTATTTCGCATCATACCCTGCGTTAAAAATTGCAAAAAAAGGATAAAGCTCTCAGTGTTGATTATTCCTTGAGGGATGCGCTATGCATTCGACTTCATTAATTATCGTTGGAGGTGGTTGAATGCGTATCTGGCCTTTATAATGACCCACGGTGGCCTACCTATTGTCGAGCCAGTCCTGCTATTATTTTAGACAAGTCGGGTACCAAGTCGCCGACTCCGAAGGGATGGAAGGCTTGGTCTGCCATGAGCATGGGGATTGATTCCACGTACGTGTCGCAACGGCGCCTCCAACCACTACACCTCACGCGCCTTGTTAAAGTTAAGCAGGCAGAAAATAGAAAGTTAACATTGTAACAACGCATAATTTCCATTATTGCTGACTAAGCCATGAATCAACTTCTGGGGAGACTTCTACCAACGCACAAAAAATTGCTACACCTGTGGCCACTCCTTAAGAACAATTTAAATAGTTTGATTCTGTGCTTGTCCTTCTCACTTCAT